CATTCAAATGTCTCAGGAACGAGGCTGGCGACCAAACTGTAAATAAACCCACTCGTCTCGTGTTTCCTGGACATAAGATAAATACTCAAAGTTTATATCAACACACACACACGCGCACGCACACACACACACACACACACACACGCACACGCACACGCACACGCACACGCACACGCACACGCACACGCACACGCACACGCACACGCACACGCACACGCACACGCACACACACACACACACACACACACACACACACACACACACACACACACACACACACACACACACACACACACACACACACACACACACACACACACACACACACACACACACACACACACACACACACACACACACACACACACACACACACACACACACACACACACACACACACACACACACACACACACACACACACACACACACACACACACACACACACACACACACACACACACACACACACACACACACACACACACACACACACACACACACACACACACACACACACACACACACACACACTTGTACTGTATCGTTGCAGCATCTGTTAAAGACGATGCACATGAGAACGGTTCCTGCCTACATGAGTTTAACTGGACTAATCCAAGCGTACTTGTGTGTGTATCACTGCCTCCTCCCTGTGGAGCGGTAGGTGCTGTAATGACTGCCGGTCCCTACGCGATGCTAACTGTAGCTCCCTCGGTGGTGGAGGAGGATTTGGCCAGTCATGATACAGAAATGTTTATTCTTCATCTCGTGCCAGGCTAAATGTGTCCAGCTGTTCCCTGATGCTGCGTTCTCTCTCTCTCTCTCTCTCTGTAGCTGGTTACATCAGCGACTACATCAGCCCGGTCGTGTATGATGGTGAGAGCGATGGCGGCATCAAGGTGCCCTCTCCTGACCCCCTCTACGACGGCATCCACAGCGACTACGGGGCTCCTGACTCCGAGTCTCCCGACAGCCCCGGCTCAGAAATCACAGATGGCTACATAAACGGCGACGCTGCAGTAAGCGAGGGATACACAGTCGATGCCTTCTTCATCACCGACGGACGCTCGAGGAGGAAAGCCCTGGGCAGCCCTCGGAGCGTCCAGAGGCACACCTGCAACGAGTGCGGCAAAACCTACGCCACGTCTTCCAACCTGAGCCGGCACAAACAGACGCACCGCTCGCTGGACAGCAAGCTGGCAAAGAAATGCCCGACGTGTGGGAAGGTGTACGTATCCATGCCCGCCATGGCCATGCACCTGCTCACACACGACCTCAAGCACAAGTGTGACGTGTGCGGGAAAGCGTTCAGCCGGCCGTGGCTCTTGCAGGGCCACATGAGGTCTCACACGGGGGAGAAACCGTTTGGCTGCGCCCACTGTGGGAAGGCCTTCGCGGACCGCTCAAACCTGCGCGCGCACATGCAGACCCACTCGGCCTTCAAGCACTTCAAATGCAAACGCTGCAACAAGACCTTTGCGCTCAAGAGTTACCTGAACAAGCACTACGAGTCTGCCTGCTTCAAAGGCCCCTTCTCTCCTCTCGGCCCGCTAGATGCATGACGACCTCCCAGAAGATCAAGCGGCAGACAAACTGCAGACTGAAATGACCGTCATCCTTAAAGACCGAACTGCAGACGGTATATTTTTGGTCAGAAGTTGACCTTGCTCTCCTTCCTCACTCCCTCCTCTCCCCCGTCCCCCTCCCCGCCTTCTCCTGGAACCTGAAGATAGCACAATTTTTCTCCTTGAGATTTTCCATCTTTAGGATTGAACTGATCGACGCATGCACTTTCTGAAAAACTCCTCGCCTCCTCTTCCTCCGCCCGTTTGGGATGGAGACATGAGAGTATTACCACGGCTTCCTCCTGGCATCGACATGACGGACAGCAGCTTCTATTTTGGGACACGGACGGTGGGATGGATGACAAAGACAATAGCGAACCTTTAGCTACTAGTTTTCTCCACGCACTGAAAAGGTTTTTCATTCTGATTCAGCTTTTGATTTTTGGAAAGGAGGATGATAGTAATAAGAATAGTAATAACAATGATATTAATAATCATGCTCTGTTGCACCAAGTGACCAGAATCTCTCCACTCCTGAGGTAAAGACGATCCTGTTTATTTATTTGTTTATTTATTTGAGCACATGGTCTTTTTTATTGTACATTTATACTTGATTTGATAACCAAGCGATGGTCTTTATTTGCACTTTAAGTTCTGCGAGTGTTTGATATCTCTCTTTTTACCACTACAGGCCAAAGCATTTGTCACTTTTTGAGTGTTATTTTTTTCTATTAGGCTGTTTACCTTTTTTCTGATTAAAATTATTGCATGCAAACATAATAATGACAATAATAATGATGAAACCTATGCCAACATCATACAAAGCTTATGATTTTTGCCAAATTCCTATAGATAGAACCCGAGGGGGCGATATTTTTGTTTCTCTCGGAGCCTCCGTGGGACTCTTTAAAGCAATAATCACCTAATGCATGGTATTTTACGATGAAGTTATGAAGCATTACCTACTACTGTATAGCAGTTTAAAAATCAGGTATGTTTTACTTCACCTATAGTCATAAACAGAAGAATACTAACATTGAGGACATCAGGGAACATGCCAACGTAGTGTTAGAGCAGCAAAAAGAAAAGTTCAGTCCTTTCCTCTCTCGTTATGCACTGCCTGCCTCTTAGTGAGTAGATCTAATGTAGGACGTAGGCTAGGGAGGCTGGGATCAGCTGCCCACGCGGCGCCAGGCCTACTGCAGGATGAGACGTGGCCAACGTGTGCTAGCTTGGCTAACGCCGGAGGAGCAGCAGGAGAACGCTCTCCAGCCTTCTGAGGTGTGCATGAACCCAACATGACAGACATCATCTAACTCTCGATTCGGTCTCCAAGACAAAGTTTGGTGCTTTGCTGGAGTTGGACTGATGCCAACGGCAACGCGATGCATTATTCAGGCCTCCCTGCAGAGCACTTCCACACCATAACGAGAACATCCCTCAGCCACAGAGGCAGGCCCGCGCTCCAGCTGGTCTGATCACGCTTCACAGTCCTGATGGTTCTGCAGTAGGCCCGCCCCGCTGGCCCAACCGTAGGCTGCTGTTCTGAGGATGCATCCACCGGCAGACCCACGTGGTCGACGCCGGTGCTGCTGAACCCAAATCTCTGCAGCTCAGAAACCTTTTCTACAGATTCACGGAGCTTTCCAGGAGACAGACCGACCAAAACAAAAACAAAAGCGTTTTTATGTGTTTGTGCCACTTTTTAAAAGTGTTTAGTGAACTTGAGCTTGAACAGGAACATGCTAGTGAATGCATGCACTTGTAAGCACACCGTGCCTGCCGATGAGCCATTAGATCACAAAATCTGTCAGCGTTCAGGTTTTTGAGACTGGAATGATTAAATACGTAGATGTGAATCTCTGAGCTTCCTCAAGACTGACAGGAACGGGTCGGCACCATCGAGGGAAACCACTGGATGGGTCAAAGACGGCGTTCTGAGGTGGAACGTCTGCAGCTCGTCTCTGTTTAGTCTTTTCTGCTGTAAAGAAATGCTAAACTCTGACATGCAGATCACAGTTCAGTCGTATGTTTTTCTTAATGTTGGAAATCAGAACGCGAGTCCCAAACTGCAGCCTTTGTTGTTGCTGATGCTCCAGTTTCATCTGAGCGCTGACTATTTCAACTGAATCGTGCGTTTGGGTTTTTTTTACTTTGCTTTTCTTGTTTTAAAGTGGCGAGCCAAACATCCACGGGTGCAAATCAGGCACGATTTTAAAGAAAACTTCCACCTTAGTGTTGCTACCTTGTCAGAAATATATGAATCAAGTTTAAAGATGCAAAAAAAAAAAGAAAAAAAATCGGACTTTGAGCCATAGAAACGTTCATCTTTGTGTTTGCATGTCATGTTTCTAAATGATGAGTACTTAACAAAGCTGTTACTGTGTTGTAAAAATCCAGATGCTAATTTGCACTCACAGCTGAGTCTCTGGTGAGTTTTTGGTTTTAAAGCGGGAGGAAGGACCTTTTCCAGCGGCGTCTGTCTCCTGGCGAGCTCCGGGTCTGCTCTCTATCAGCACTTCCATCGCACTCGTCTCCACCTTAAAGAAAGTAGCACAATAAAAACTAACTAGAAATCAGGTAGAGCAGAAACAACAAATAAAAACTAGCTTGACCTCTTCTTCTTTTGTAGAACGATGCTAACCTAAAGAATCCTTTATGACAGGAGGGTTTGTGACGAATCCTTTGGGTTGAGATGTTTTTACTGCTGTAAATCTGAAACACTTAACTCCCAGGAGGTCCGCAGCTCTGCTTTAGAGCGACAACCTCCTGGATCTATTTTCCTTTCTGAGCCAGTATTCAGACAATGTAAGCACAATGAACACAAAGCATTTGTGGCACTTCATAATAAAGAATAATCTTAAGCAACCGAGGCCCTGTTGTGCAGGTTTGTGCTTTGTTTGCAGAGATCAGCAGTCTTTTGGGATATGATAAATAATGTTATTACAACGGCATTTGGTGCCGAATGTGAAAAAATAACAGCTTTTAAGTTATTTTGGAGATTAAAAGGAAAACTAAACCAACTCTGGTGGAAAGACCCAAGTATGAGTCTTTGGTTACTTGGAATTTTAGCTCATATTCCTAATTTTCTACTTTCATGCTGTACCCGGCTTCTTGTTTTATTTCTAGCGGTTCAGGCTGCAGTTCCAGTTTAACCAGAAAACAAAAATAATTGTTTTATGAACATTTTAGTGTTTCTAAAGTTTTGAGGTGAATGTTGGAGACTCTTATTGTGAAGGAGGCGTCCAGCCCTCGCCTTGGACTGTTGAAAAGAAAAAGTCCTGAGTGGTTTTAAATGTTTTACCAGTTAGAAACTCACTCAAAACTCGGAGTTACAATAATAATCCCACCTGAATCGGTCAGGGGTCAAACAGAGCCGGGGGACACCCTGGACAGGTCACCAGGTCAGGACACATACAGACAAATGTCTAGCAGGACACCTACTCACACCTAGGGACACTTTAAGGTCATCGTGCACTTCCGTCGTCTGTGGGAGGAACCCGGGGAACCCGTAGAAAACCCTGAGGAGGCGGGTGAACCTGCACCGCTGCAGTCAAAACCAGAACTAATGACGTCCGGTTCAGGATCGCAGAAGAATTTGTTTCATCGGATTTGACCAAAACAGCCCAAATTTAGTCTTTCTTGACATTCATTCAGAAATTAAAACCTCCATTTATTTTTGTCATTTCAACTATTTTTCTGGAAACAGAATTGAGACGTTTTCACATCGTTGGTTCGACTTTATTTTGAAAATATTCAAAGTTTTTCTACATTTTGTCCCAATGAAGCAACAATAAATCTTTTTCTCTAGGTGGGCCTAATTCTCCACCATGTGCTGCACTTAGTGGGAGGAATGTTTGTCTAAGTAGCTTTTAAAGCACTTCATGCTAACATGGTGAGTTTGAAGCCGGAGGAGTGCTTCGTTCATTTACAGAAAAGAGAAACGCTTCCCCAACCAAACAGCTCTTACTTTGCTTTAGCCTTGTCGATACTGGATGTGTAAAGAGGAGCTGAGCTGACATTAATTCACAGCGAGCTTGTTAGCATCCTTTAAGTTGCTGGAAGGTAAAACGCTGCAGGCTGATAACGCCTGAAAACAGACGCTCAACGAGGTCACGTTAAAGCTCCCGAGAGCCGAGGCTCGAGCTCTTCTCAACAACTTTAATAATGAAATAATCAAAGTGTAAAGAAGATAAAACGTCCTGATTGGTACTCAGAAATAATGCCACATCCTCTCTTCCATCAGAGCACAATTACCGCTTCAGTAGTCTGGCGTCGGTCACAAATGTGTTTTTCATCCTTCCTGGACACAAAATGGTTCCAATACCATTAATAAGCTAAATGAGACACCGCTAATCTGAGGCTGCAAGTGTTAAGTCGTCTGAATTTCCCCATGTTGGCTTAAAAGTGACGTGACTGGACGAGCGACTTGTTTTTAGGAAACTCAACATATTTGTGTTAGTCAGAAAAGTGCAGATCGTTGGCGTCTGTCTGCTGCGTGTGGTCCAGAGGAGTTATCATGATGGGGTTTTGAATCATGAGCAGGTTTTAAAGGGTGATGACGAGTTATCATGCAGACGGAGGCATAGTTACCTTCACAGCCACGAGTCTTCATGAACTCACCTTTCAGTGGTCTTAATGTTGTGGAACATTAACATGTTGAGCCAGGTTACTGACTGGTACCAGGAGATCTGAACACATCACGCCCGTCTTGGCATCCCTACACTGGCTTCCAGCCTCTTTTCGTTTAAAGTTCTTGTGTTTGTTTTTAAATGTTTACATGAGTTGGCTCCACGTTATCCATCGGATCTGATCCATCCTTATGTTCCCTCAAGGAACCTTCAGCAAGGACTGTTGGTCGTTCCTAAACACAGACTACAATCTCGAGGGGGTCGTGCTTTCTCGGTGCTGGGGCCGAGGCTCTGGAATGAGCTGCCTGCATGTGTTAAACAGTTTAAGAGCCAGCTGAAAACTCACTTTTATTCTTTAGCTTTTATTCAGGAAGAGCCTCGTTAATGTTTTTTGCTGCCCCGCCTAGATTTTATCTGCATGTTTTTGTTGGTTTCTAAATGTTTTTATATGTTTTTATTTTTTTAATGTTTAATTCTGCTGTGCAGCGCTTTGTTTGGTCCTTGGGCCATGTGAAGGCGCCATATAAATAAAGTTTTAGTTAGTTAGTTAGGAACAATGGTGCACATAGACCAATGCGTGCTCACATGACAGTGAAGAGCTACATATGAAGGTGCTGCAGGACCTGCTTTGGTCGATAAGCTGTAGTTAAAAACATGACAGCCTATTAAAATTATTATTTTTGTAATAAGAACATGGTTCAAGACACAGAAAATCTTCCATCCGATTTCCGATGTTGGTCCAAGGTTGGGCTGGGGAGACAGGTCCAGCAGAACCACCCAGACGTCACTCTCCTCAGCAACATCCTCCAGCTCTTCCTAAAGCATGCCACTGTCCTCCAGGCTGACGCGATACAATAAAAAACTCAAGATAACATCCAACAACATTACTCTTAAGTTTAAGCATTGAACCTTCAAGGTTCTAGGTCTGCCTGAGGCATCTTTCTAGTGGGACCTGCTCAGAAACATTCCGCCGTGGGACAACCACATCACCTGACTTATTTCGCTCCATGCTCTTTTCTGTGGCTTGGGATCACATTCCTTCAAGTCATAATTCAAAAATGATGACTACAGGTGAGGGATGATGGACCAGAAAGTCCAAAGCCTTGCCTTTCGGTTCAGCACCTTCACAACCAGAGCTCCATCTCACCACCACTCGCTGAGCAAAGACCGGAACGCTTGAGGCTCAGACTCAGTCCCAACCCAGAGGAAGAATTCCACCATCTTCAGGTCGAGAACCAGAAAGAAGCCACCTATGATCTTTTGTAAACAGGCCTCTTCACTATAATCATTAATATGTTGAAGAACATCATAAAACCACATCTGCAGTGGTCTCCGGTATAAATGAATGTCTTGAGTTGATCGCTGTTAGAAAAAAAGCTCTGGTGCTCCAGCTTCAGGAACTAGAAGCGGGCCAGATAAGAGCTGAGCTTCAGACGGCGGGATCTGGAGTTTTACTTCCTCATATGTGGAAATCACTCCTCTGATTGGCTAACAGCAACAACAACACTGACTCTGCTCTGCAACGTTAACGTTTTATCTCCACAAATAACACAAGCCTGGAGGAGTTCTGCTGTGTGGTGGAGTTGCTAATGCTAACAGTTAGCTTCTGCTAGTTGAGGCGTTCGCTGCTGGACGCTAAACCGGGGGGGGGGGGCAGCTTGACTTAACCATGTTAGCTTAAACTCGTGTGCTAGCATCACAGTATAGTACAGATTACTATCATGTACCAGACACTTAAGACAGTATCGTCAGTTAACATCACATTAAT